AAATACGTGAGTATGATGACGCCAGCGAGCGCACCCGGGCGCCTCCGCCCCCTGTTTGCCTGCGGGTAGAGGAAGTAATTCAATAGCTTGGTAAACACGCAAATTACCTCGCCTGTTTCGCCAGCTCCGTAACCCGCGCCCGCGCCTTCGACACCCGCATGGCCCAGTAGCGTTTCCAACCTTCCGGCTCCTTTTCTTGGAGGCTTCCTTGGAGGCCCGAGGAAGTTGAGCCGGGAGGTTAGCTCGTTCCAGAGACGAACTTTGTCGTCTCTGGACAGCACCGGGCTCAGCTTAGTTGCGCCGCGTACCAGAGAGGCCACATCCTCCTGTTTCTTGAGCAGTCATTAGCGCCGGTAATTTGAACTAGGCGCTCATCCGCGTCCCGCATGTTGTTCTAGCCTTTTATGCGAGTTTACTCTATCGAATATTTTCGGGAACCGCTACAAAATCAGTTGCTTATTTCAATAGAACACGTGTATTTTTTTAGTTTGACAAGTTTCTTTCAAATAGAGCCGATGTGAAGGTCGCCGCCGCAAGGGATTGGCTGCCATCACTTGACTAAAAGCAGAAAATGCTCCTCCGGTTGCCGGAGAAACGGACGCTTGCGTAGGGACTAGGTTCCAGATAGGTACCGCCGAGAAAGCGTAGGTACGGCAGGGGGACAGCGTAGCTACTTCCGCTCTGCGGGGGTTGGCTCTTGACGCCTCTCAAGTGAGTGACAGACGCCAATCTTGCAGTGTCGTCACGGCGTCAAAGAAGGCGGTTTCGCGTTTCGCGCCGTTGCTTGGTTACGCTCCTCCTGCCGGTACGTCACTTCTGTTTCTAGTTTCTCGAAAGTTCAACATAGGTCCCCAGGGGACCTATGTTGGACTTTCGAGAAACTAGAAACAGAAGTGACGTAGTGGCAGGTGACGCGTAACCAAGCAACGGCGCACACCGCGAAACCGCCCTCTATGACGCCGTGACGACATGGCAAGATTGGCGTCTGTCACTCACTTGAGAGGCGTCAAGAGCCAACCGCCGAAGAGCGGAAGTAGCTACGCTGTCCCCCTGCCGTACCTACGCTTTCCCGGTGGTACCTAGTCCCTACGCAAGCGTCCGTTTCTCCGGCAACCGGAAAGGCATTTTCTGCTTTTAGTCAAGCGATGGCAGCCAATCCCTTGCGGCGGTGACCTTCACATCGGCTCTTTTTTAAAGAAACTTGTCAAACTAAAAAAATACACGTGTTCTATTGAAATGAACAACTGATTTTGTAGCGGTTCTAGAAAATATTAGATGCAATAAACTCGCATAAAAGGTTAGAACAACATGCGGGACGCGGATGAGCGCCTAGTTCAAATTACTGGCGCTCATGACTGCTCATGAAACGGGAGGATGTGATTGAAAAGGTTTGCTCCGACTTAACATAACAAATTGAGGATGTGGCCGATGTGGCCTCTCTGGTACGCGGCGCAACTGAGCTGAGCCCGGCGCTGTCCAGAGACGACAAAGTTCGTCTCTGGAACGAGCTAACCTCCCGGCTCAACTTCCTCGGGCCTCCAAGGAAGGAGCCGGAAGGTTGGAAACGCTACTTGGCCATGCGGGTGTCTAAGGCGCGGGCGCGGGCTACGGAGCTGGCGAAACAGGCGAGGTAATTTGCGTAGTCTACTCATAGTGTGAACCAAGCTATTGAATTACTTCCTTTACCCGCAGGCAAACAGGGGGCGGAGGCGCCCGGGTGCGCTCACTGGCGTCATCATACTCACGTATTTTGACGCTGGTGGGCGAGGACTCGGCCCTGGGCGCTCCCGGGTTTTCTTTATTTGAAACCAAGAGGCCTGCACTCTAGCCACAACTTGGCACCCGCCTGAAACTGGCCTCCGGGTTTGCCATTTTTCTTATATCGTAATAAAGTGGAGATTTGGGCCAGTTCGTTCATTGCAAACAGAAAAAGCGACGAAAAAAACACAGGGACGCGGCCGAAGGGAAACAGGACAAGGTGCACTCTCAACTTAAGTTGAATTTCCAATAAACTTCAGTTGAAAGTGCGTCTTGTCCTGTTTCCTTCGTCTGTGTCCCTGTGTTTTTTGTTTGTTTTCTTATATCATTGTTGATCTCAACATGCCTCTACTATAGAATCTGTCATGCTTCCATGTGCGACAAAACACAAACGAAATGGCAGTGTGCTGAATTAAGTGAAGTGTGAAATAATGTCTGTGATATATCCTGGATAATGGCAAAGAGTTTATACACTGTTTACTAGTCCATGCTCAATTTCACTTTAAAGAAAGTATTGCAACCTGTGTTTTCAAACATGTTTATTTTTCACGTTACGGCATTGTTATAAAAAAAAGAAAGCACTTTCAAAGACAAACTGCTTGTTGTCTTCTTTATACGTTCAAACAGACACAAATCCAATATGCGATTATCGAGTAATACACTTGGCTCTGTGGTAGCCATAATAGATTGTAAAATGGAGCAGGGCAATGGAAGTGTAGAGAAAATGAATCAATGTCCAAACCCGATACAAACAATATATTGCAGTAAAAGAAGCAAAACAGGTCTCACCAGTAGCCTCATTGAGTTCTCCGTTTCCTACAAGGGCGAGCCAGATGCCCCGTTGGCTAGCTAAATAACCCTACAAAACCTTCTGTTATTGTCCCACGCATCTTATGCACCCTGCTTGCAAATTAAAAAAAGGCTCTATCAACATCACCGTGATGCACCGAATAGCTTTTCGGAGGCAGTTCTACATGTCCGTAAAGGTAACATGGTGGTTGTGCGATGAACTGCGC